AATTAAGCACCAACTCAAAAGCTACCTGAAAAGGGATGATATAGATCAAAGAGTTCTATGGCGACAACAAAAAGAATTGGGGAAAGAAAATCATACATGTAATGATTATTCAAGTCTTATTGAGATAGAATGAGTGTGTGTGGAGTTGAGTGGTGTGAAGCTTACTCACACACACATAAAATAAAAAATAAAAAATAAAAAACAAAAATAAGAAAGAGAAAAAAAGAAAAAAATATGATTGAACACTTATTAATAATCATTAATCGAGCCAATCCTGGCTAAAATAGGAATCCAACTAAATTGGTCAATCAATATTCTAGTTCCCAAAGATCATGCAATGTGACACAGAATATTGGCATATGGATCATATCACATGGCAAGGAATTCTATTTTCGTGTGCATGATTTGTATAATAACTTTTCTTTTCACTAAAGTTTTTGTAGTATGATGGTCTCTTCACTATCTTCTAAAGTGAATGGTGAGGGTTCGAGTTTTTGTAACAAAAATATGAACAGGTAAATTTCTTGCCAAAAACAAGCGTTTTTGTACCAAGTTGATTCCTTTTATTATTATTTTTTTGATTAGCAGGCAGTTGTAATTCGTAACGATAAAGTTGTTTTATTGTGATTCGAAAATTATAGAATTTGAAACAAAGAAGTAGTCTCTCTTCACATCCAAAAGTAAGATTGTGTATATCTAATTCTCTCCTGACGTCGCAAAGTAATGATTGGAACTTCGAACACTGAATTAGACATCGTTTTTACTCATTAGTGTTGTTGTCTCTTATCGGTTTTGCCTAACCCATATAACACAAACATGGTTCTTGGAAATTTGATTGGACTAACAAGGATATAAATGACCAGTAGTTTTGATTTATACGAGGGGACCTTCCTATCTCTTACAATTAAAAAGTGAAGACCTAACCAAGGAGTGGAAATACTTTTCTGGTCACTTGATGATTCACTGTCCTACTTACACTTTGGCACTGTGTGTATAAACACCATCTGAAATGAATCAAAATGATCTCAAATAACAACAAATGAGAAGACTTGAAGGACTATGATGGCCATATACTAATGGTCCCTAGGGAAGAATTACCTAGTGAAGGTGTGGCCTCTTTTCAAGATAGACTATGAAAAATCATAATTTATAGTAGAATTTGTAGCTTTATGTGGAACAGTTTTATCTTGTTTATTCTATTTTTATGTAGTTTCGAGATTTGGTCTTTAAGATGGACGATTTGTTCATTATCTAGGCAGTCCCACCTTAACAGCAATGTCGAAGTTTGCAACTTCCATCTCTCTATCGTTGAGTCTACCTAAGCCATTACATTTTTAATTGGGGGAAAAATCACATAACCCCCTGTATTAATTTTTTCTTTCAAAATGTCCCCACTAAAATTAAACACCTCCCTAAACTAACAAAACCCATCAAATTGCCCTGAAATGACAAAACTGCCATTCTAAGTTAATTGTAAATTTAAAACTTATAAATCTAATTTCTATTTTTTTTGGTTAAATTTCAAAATTGTGCAGATGTATCTTCCCTTACAGATCAAAGTCCTAGACTTCGATCATATTGAACTTCGACTCTACGGCGCTGATTGGGACGCCATCGTCCTCTTCGTCAACACCAACTCCGATGAGTTGCAACAGAAGCTCGAGGAAGAACCAAAGTATTGTTGTGAACACTTCCTTCTGCGGCGGTGTTGCCACAATCACCAACCCAGTCAAGTAAAAATTTTGATTTGGACCTCCTTGTGCGACTCCGGCAACATTTTCCCTCTGTTTGCTCCTCTTGTAAGTAGCTAGAAACACCCCAAATTGATCGAACTCTGTCTTCGCCTGAATATTCGCCGCCGAAGGACACCCTGACTCACCGATTTCGGTTGAAATTCTGGCAATTCTTATCGCCGGCGTTTCTAAAATGGGTTCGTCGATAGGGGACGATGTCATATTGGTCCAAAAAAGAAAGAAACAAGGTAAGCCCCACGGTGATCATCGAATCATTGGAAACCTGAACGCCCTATATGCTGTCGTAAACATTGCTGACGCTTCATTGAAGAATCAACCTTGAGAGCCACTAATTCGACGCTTGCGAAGTCGCCGACTTGGAATTCATGTGCACCGGCGGACTCGAAGATGAGTCTCTGTATGTCCTTGTGGTCTCTTCCGACACCGTTCGGCAAAGATTGACTGAGAGAGAGTCGTTAAGCCATCTGGTCCCCGGCCGAGAAAGTCGTGATGGCCGCTGCGATCGTCGCAACAGTTGAGAGTGAACGGCGAGATCTAGTCGATCAGAATTACGTCGTCGTAGATAATGGCAACGGATGTTTGGTCGGCGAGAGAGCTGGATATGGCTCTAATCGCCGATGAGGTCGAGGAGTAGTGCCCGATTGACGAGAATTTGGTGCGGATGAGTTTAAGTGTGTCAAAGGAGAATTCTTCCCATACATATGCAAGAATGTAAATTCACACACCAAGTCCAATGTATATATATGTGTTTGTAGAATCTCTCTAATTTTCTGCGAATAAAACTACCCACAATGCTATATTTTCACACAAATTTCCCTCGTGTTCAAATTTTCTTTTCAACCAAACAAGTTAACACAAACAGATCAAACAACAATTATAATCAGAATGCTCTAAATCTAAATCAAAGGAAGATGGAGATGAATATGGGTTTCTGGTGCTTACAATCAAAGGAAGATGGAAATGAACAGTAGACCCACCAACTCAAGGGTATTTTTGTAATCTTACAATAATATTATAAGTTTTAAATTTACAATTAACTTAGAAGGGCAGATTTGTTATTTCGGGGCAACTTGATGGGTTTTGTTAGTTAAGGGGGTGTTTAATTTTAATAGGAACATTTTGAACGAAAATATTAATACAGGAGGGTTATGTATAATATACCATTTTTAATTTGAAGAGTCCTGAATGACACTCGTTGTTGTGATTGATATAAAGACAAAACTCAATAATTGTGCAATAGTGTCAAACAATTACAATAACGAGTGCTAGCGATCGTCAATGAACAGCCGTGGTTGTGGTTAATTTAAAAGCAAAATTCACGAATTGTAAACTAGCGATGGACACTCGTCGCTGTGATTGATTTAAAAATAAAACTCAACAATTGTGAACTAGTGTCAAACAATCACAATAACGAGTGATGGTAATTGGGGATGGATACTCATTGTTGTGGTTGATTTAAAAACAAAACTCAACAATTGTGAACTAGTGATGAACACTCGCTGTTGTGATTGATTTAAAAATAGAGCTCAACAATTGTAAACTAGTGTCCAACAATCACAATAACGAGTGCTGGCAACTGTTAATGTACACTCGTTGTTTGCTGTGATTGATTTAAAAACAGAACTCAACAATTGTAAACTAGTGTCAAACAATTAAAATAACGAGTGTCCATCAATAGTAACTAGGCGCTTCGAGCAAGTAACAGTTCATTTAATAGAAATGTTAAATTATAGGCCATCATATAATTCAGTGCTATGAGAGAAGAATGGCCCTAAATTAGGCATAATTAAGATAGAATTTATGAATCCAGCTCTTGGAAGGTGAGTTGGGGCTCTACTTAGGTTTATTGATTCATAAACTCCATTGCAATCAGGAATATTTTTTTTCTTGTTTTAGCCAAACAAACATCTCATGGATTACATTCCCTTCGAGCAATGAACAAAATGCAAGTTCCTTTTTTGGGCTTGCCCGGCGGCGGCGGCGGGGGAGGGGGGGACCTCATGCTGCGGAGTTGAAGAGAGATTTTGTTAGAAATGATTTGTTTCCTAAATGTTTTATTACATTGGATTGAAAGTTTCATCATTTTAAAAAATATATTTATTCTGTGGATATTATTAGATTTTTGCAAAAATAAATTTCATTCTCATCACTATTCAAATAATATGTAAATTATAGTATTTCAGTCGGAGTAAATCCAAACAAGATAATTCTTTGAATTAGAAAATTTTCAAAGGAACTTGGCTGGCTATGACTATGAGTGATTGGGATGATTAAATTAATTAAAATGGACAACCTTGTCTGATACAACTTTTCGCATATGCGCATCATTGTCAAACCTATTTTTTTTTTTTTTTTTTTTGTTCCATTCTTTTCTTGACCTGAGCTTTCACATTTGAAAATTTGGGCAATGGAAAATATGTCGTGATTGCATCACCAATGATGATACGTGATGAATTTAGATTTTGATACTTTGTGTCAATTGATGATTGGTTCGGACTAATAATCTTGGGATCATATAATAATTTTTGTTAACAAAGAGTTTATTATTATTATTTTAGCACCAAATGAAAGACTTAAAAAATAGGTCTTTCAATGTCTTCTCTTCGTGCTGCACAAATGTTTCTTCTGAGTAATACCATTACGAGAGTCTTCTTATAGTCTAATGAATTAAAATTTTAGTCAAAAAACTCATCAATATGATGTTTAACAAATCTCAATAAACTATTTTAATTCGAGTAAACAAAGAGAGCTCATACAATATTATGAGAGGATTTTCATAATAGCATTACTTAATTTGACACTGGCCTCAAGTTTCGTGCCCAACAGGATGGCCCGTGTGACACCCCTCTCGGGACTCAACCTAACACGACCTATCCATTAAGACTTCATATATCCGAAATGGTTTTAGCCTGCCTTGGCCCTCCTCAGAGTAACAGAAGTGTAGGTAGACAGAGATGGTGATATCCATAATTTACTTTGCATGATATATTTAAGGCGTAATCGCTGTCATTATTTGATTAAATGTAGCAATTATTGTCTTTCATAAATTAAATACTATAAATTCTGGAATAAATAACTTTTAAGGAAAGGATAGTTTAGATCAAAACAAATTAAATAATGAAAGAAGCAGACAAGAAATCTCGTTAAAAAAAAAAAAAATGAATTCTCTCTCGGAATTCAAACATGCTTTTTTTATATATATACTTTTTCGCAGACATCAAAGCCCACTCATTGCTTCACTGTCATCCTTTCATTTTCACACTAAGGATTCTCTCTTTGATTATGTAAACCTATCATATCAACAACACACTCCTCCTCTCACCCACCCATTCCAACTCTCTCATAAGCTCCTCTCTCTCTCTCTCTCTCTCCTGTTACTGTGTGTGTGTGTGTGTGTGTGTTCAGTGAAGCAAAAGAAGGCTGCAATGGAAAGAAACATGTGTATTTATGTGATTTGTATAGCTTTGTTGGGAGTTCACATCACTGCAAAGGCAGAAGATATGCTGATAAGTCCATCCCAGTTGGAAATGTTTGTCGATGATCTTCCAGACATGCCCAAACTCAAAGGTTTCAGTCTTGAAAATGGTGTTCCCATGCCCAACTCACTCAAGATTGGCATGTTCCATAAGAAATGGGTAATTTACTTTCTTTTTTTTTCTTAATTTTATTGGTGTATTCATTTATACAAAACAGAGTTTTTCATTATTATCCTAAAGTTTGTGTGTGTGTGTGTGTGTTTTGAGGCATTCTTGACTTTCAATGAACTTGAATTTGATAGAATACCCTGTTATTATGAAAATTAAGCGTGTCTGTTTTTTCGTTTGAGCTCTAGACCCTGCCTTAACCAGATTGAATTGTTAGGAGATAGATATAATTTCTTGTTATGCAATTATTTTCATCGATATTTGAAAATAAGACCATTTTGCTTGGGTGGAATTGGTCCAAGCTGACAAGACAGTGTCTTGTCGGTCTTGGCCGACTTAACAGGACAAACATTGTTCTCGAAAATCTGTAGGGTCCAAATTGCGAAATTTTGATATCTATCTCGTCGGAATTGTATGCCATAGTATATATGTGATACCTTGGATTTTTTAATATGGCTTGGCCAAACCCTTGCTCGAATATTGAGAAATATAAAAAATAAATCGACAATAAATAAATACACAATATAAGAGAATAAATAAAAATGATGAAATGAATACTAGAATGATAATCAAATAAACTATCAAAATAAATTTTCATTAAATAATAAAGTATTCTGATACAACCAATTTTTCAATACAACTCGGAAATCCATACTGTGTGGGCCTTAGAAAAATCCAAACTAATATAATCAACGATCAATAACTAGATACAAAAACATAAAGGAAACTCCTAAGTAGATAATCCGGAAGAGTGAAAGAGAATGATCTCTGCTCAGCACGAACAATTTCTACTCCTGACGAACATCTGAAAAATAATGATGGGTCAGGCCAACAAACAAGTTCTACTCTATTACAGTCCAAACAGAGATCCGATATACGTATACATCCTAATCAACTCAATAATAACTAGTAGTTCGTATACACACACACACATACACACACACTAAAGGAACCTCACTAGACTATAGGGTTACCTTAATCTGAATAGTAAGCAATATGCAAAACGCACATATAGTGGGCATGAGTACCTAGACCTATCATGATACACAACTACATTATATCTAGTTACTTATTTCTGGCAATATACGCGCCCTAACCATAGATTATGAGACTCGAGCTCAAATCATGGCTCATAACTATATATATATATATAATCCATCATAGAACATGAAATAAAGTATCCAGTATGTCATTCAACTGATACAGTTGACTTGACATGAATAAGTAGGACTCAATACCATGGTTAATTCATTTCCTTATAATACAAATAGGTAGAATTTAACTTCTTTGGTTAATCCGTTCCTAGAATGCTACCATCCCATACTGGTGCATTACATCCATACAATCTAATAATTGATGTAACAAATAAAGTAACACATCAAATAATTCAGAAATAAACATAATAACATAATATCATGCTATTACCAAATATGAATGACTTATAATTTATTTAAGCTTACTGTATCATATATCCCACACAAATTGAACCTTAAACATACTGATATTTTATTTCACAGTCAAATAAGCATTCTCCAAATATATTTCATGCTAAACATTTAATCTCAATTGCTAGAACAAATTAAAATGATTAAATCCATTTTTCTTTAAAGAATTCATGTAGCATGCATTGTTATAATCAAGTCTATTTATTTAAACTCATACATAGTCTCTGTTTAATGTTCAGGATCCCTCAAAATCTATTAAGTTAATTTAAATGTTGTTTACGTAAATTCTCCAGGTAAGGCTCAAACTTTTATCTTGATAGCTCGAACTTTCTATCAATGACTCGAGCTTTTCATCAATAGCTCGAGCTTTCTGTCAATGACTCGAGTTTTACATCAATAGCTCGAGCTTTGCATCAATAGTTTGAGCTTTGCTTCCAAGGCTCGAGCTTTAACTCCATGGCTCGAGCTTTTTACCTATGACTCGAACTTTACTTCCAAGGCTCGAGCTGTTACGAGAATCAACCCAGAATTCTTATTGTAAATCCGTTCTTCACTGTTAAGGGTTCTAAGGCATGAATCTAATTCCATAAGTCCATATTAATTTATTTTAGATATTTTATCATGTAAAGATTAAACTTAAACATTAATTATGCATAAAAAAATTCAAGATTACAAAATCAAGAACATATCTATAAACACATAAAACCCTCTGTTCTAAACCAATTTAAGCATGCATAATTATTCAATTTTAAGTGTTTAAGCATTCTGGAATTTCCTAGGCATGTATAGAAATACAAATCAAAGGGAAAGAGATAGAAGAAGAGCTTGTCTTAAATTTTCGAATCAAAAGTTAAACTTCTTCTTTCTTGATCTTTTTTTCAAAAAAAATTTCTCATCTTTCCTTCCTCTTCCTCCTTCTCTCTCCAACTCTCTCTCTAAAATATATTACGTGATATATTTCTAACTCCCTTTTACAAACCTATAGTTATATATTTATAGGCTAAATAATAACCCTACTCCTTTTCCCAATTCAAGTCAACTAAATAAAGAAAATAATAAAATTAAAATATTAAAAAGGTAACTTAAAATATGTTACGTAAATAATTTATGTATATCCTTATTAAATAAATAAAATATATATACATCAGATTATTTATTAATACTAAAGTTACCATAATATTAAAAGGTAACTTAAAATATGATAAGCATATAATCTATGTATATCCTTATTATATAAATATATAAAATTTATACATCAAATTATTTATTAATACTAAAGTTACCATAATATTAAAAAGGTAACTTAAAATATGATACGCATATAATCTATGTATATCCTTATTATATAAATATATACATTAGATTATTTATTATTGCTAAAGTTACCATAATATTAATTAATAAATTACTTTTCTTTTATATATATGTGTGTGTGTATATATATATATATACACACACACACATGTACAACTATCTATGGGTAATTATCCATACCCATTAAACCTCATATCCAAGTAGTTCATGGGACCTAATTGGTTGGCCATTACTATTAACCATAATTATAAAATAAAATAAACATTTAATCATTTAGTTTACCATAAATTACAATTAATCAAATACATCATTTAAGCACACAATCTAATAAACAAATAATACAAATAACATCTAGACAAATAGTCAATTAATCAAGTAACATTTAATTCAATTAAACACATAAACAATTAGTCAAATAATCAATTAAACAATTAAAATGTAATTAAAATAAATAAATAAATACCGAGATTATCCTTTTAAAATTAGGGGTATTACATTCTTCCCCCCCTAACAAATAGAATTCCGTCTTCGGAATTCGCCTTTACTTTATTCCATTATTTCTGAAAATTGTGAGCGGATTACATTCTCCTATTCCCAAGTAGACGCAGCTTCACTATGACGGCTCCACTTAACTCCAATGTATCAAGTAGTATACATAGTTCCTATATTTAAGAACACAATAATCGTACGATTCAGAGGTTGTATCGAACAAAACGTAATCCACCCAATTTGACAAGGTAATGATCTATATTCTTCCAAGTTCCATAGAATATATGCACAAAACTCCTATGCACCCTGCGTTAATGATTTGGTAAAGCTAATCCAGAGGCGATTGCTTTAATTTATAAACACAATTCTTTAAAAGTCAATGTAATAAGTAAAATTGACCTTTCTCTAAAAAAAAAAAAAAAATCGCCTTGCTTCCAATATGGAAGACATAACGAGCAAACTACTCCCTGATAGACAACTTTAGCATACGAGTTCGACTATTTACAACATCCCACTGTCGCCTCCAAACCGCGCGCAGTCCATTACAAAGGAGAGTATTTCTCTCTGACGTATTTTTAAATGAAGTCAAGGTCTGATTGTACAACCTTTGCTTCCATTTCAAACCAACAAATGAGAGCTTTGCACTATGTAATATACAAAACCTCAAACGTTGTCACTCCAACCCCCTTGTGCCAACATTACCACAGACAAAAACTGAAAAGCAAAGTAAATGCTTCCAATTGTTCATAAAAACCTAGAATATATACCTTAAGCATATCCTTTATAGTCTAACTTAATCTCTCTATCAATTCCTCCGTCTATAAATATGAAGCAAAGTTGTTGCTCCAAAATATAAAACTCCATCGAAATAGCACTTTGCATCCACTATAATGGACATCCACATGCTATAACACCACTATCACTGTATTATAGAACTACTATAAAGCTCTAAAGTGAACATCACTCCAATTAATGTCCTCAAACGAACCTTCTCAATCCACCACTCTTATTCCATATGGAAAATTGAAATTCCAAATCAATGTCGATAATCCCTACCGAACGTACACTCCTATTTAGTCCTACTTCAATATTCGTTATAAGAAATGACTAAAGATTCCAATGATATCCGATGATCAACTTTTTCACCTTTCTAGCAGGTGTTATACTTAGGGTAATTATATACATATCCCTATCCGTACCTGTTCACCAAAACCGACATTTGATGTCGGATGTACCTTTTAACCATCTGAGTGCACAGAGAAAAATTATAAGTTTTCCATCTCAGTCGCCCGACCGTCCTATCACTATTTACAGAAACTACTAAATCTTCCTCCAGTACCTTAAACTCCATCTGAGTAAGGTAACACCTTCTCCAGGGTCAGCTCCGATATTCAAAGTTGACCTTCTCAACTTCTTTAGTAATAACAAGTGTTATTATTACACATGCTATAAATTTAACTGATAACTCAACAACTAACCGAAAGATTTAAATTTTTTATCGGTTGTTGAGAACATCCACTTCCATAATTGCTTCCACCAGACAGAACTTGAAATAAAGTGTTAATCACAACTTCTATTCATCTAAATCGTCTCGTGATTCGTTCTATTCATATGAACTGAAGTCCTACCAGTTCGAAATAGACAATAACTTCAACTAATATCCCATCCAGAATCATGACCCTTGTGCTGACTTAAATTATCAGTTAACCAATATCCCATCCAGAATCATGACCCTTGTGCAAA